CATCCATCCATCCATCCATCCATCCATCCATCCATCCATCCATCCATCCATCCATTATCTTTTACCCACTTCTTCCTTTATGGGTCACAGGGGTGACTGGTGCGGCACCCATGTCCAGCAATCACTGTGCGAGAGGCAGGGGACACCTTGGACATGTCTCCAGTCCATCACAGGGACACAGAGACAAAAGAGACAAACAACCATTCACTCTCTCGCTCACACCTAGGGACAATTTAGAGCTACCAATCAGCCTAACATGCATGTTTTTGGTCTGTGGGATGAAACCTGAGTACCCAGAGAAAGCCCACTCATGCACGGAAAGAACATGAAAACTTCACCCAGAAAGTCCCTGGACCAGGATTTGAACCAGGGCAACCGGCTGAGAGGCAGCAGCTCTACCAACTGAGCCACCATGCTGCCCCCATTTTAGTAAACCTCAGAAAATAACTATGCAGTATATCAAAATGTCATGCTTGGATTACGTGTAGTAATTGTAAAATGGACTGTACTTGTAATGGAACTTGTAATGGAAAATGGACTGTACTTGTATAGCACCTTTCTATCTAATCAAAATATTCAAAGCACTTTACAACACAATCTGTGCCCTCATTTACCCATCCATACACACATACCTGTACAGCACTCTACTACATCTCTACAAAGCTAACTGAACAAATCATTCTAAAGAGACTAATCAGTGCTTTTAGATCACATTCATACACCGATGGGACACACATCAGAGGCAGTGAGGGGTTCAGTGTTTTGCCCAGGGACACGTCAACAAGTGACTGCTGGTGGAATCGAACCCCCAACTCTCCCATTGGAGGACGCCTGCTCTAACCACTCAGTCATAGAAGCTTGTGTGCTGTTTTTGTGTGCTCACTTTATTTTACTTTTTTTAATTTAACTTTCATTCTGGGAAGCAAACTCAAATTTCATGGTACTTTGATTCAATGACAATAAAGGTCTATTCTTTTGTGAATCCAGTTTTAGCAACACCTATCAACCTGATTGAGCTAAAGTAATCTTTGTGTAAGTTATTGTTTATTAGCTGTGGTAGACATATTGAATTGGACTGACTCCACAAGTTAATCAATTGTAAACATATATTCAATGAATACTCTTGGAAAATTTGATTAAACACTGTCCAGTAGTCCAGGAGATAATTTGCTAACAAACAAATAGACTCCATTGTTGACTCCAACCGTTAATGCTAATATTTGAGGCAATGATCCATCCATCCATCCATCCATCCATAACATCCATCTACTATCTTCCACTTGTTCCTGAGTCAGGTCACAGGGGCAGCAGTTTAAGCAGGGAAGCCCAGACATCTTTTTCCCCAGCCATCTCTTCTAGCTCTTCTGGGAGGACACCAAGGAGTTCCCAGGCCAGCTGAGAAAAATGGGGTGCATTCACACCAACCCTGTTTAGTCCGCTTTAATCAAACTCTAGTCCGTTTGCCTAGAAAGTCTGGTTCATTTGGGGAGATGTGAATGCGCAATCAAACTCTGACGTGGACCAAAAAAGCAAACTCTGGTCTGCCTAAATACCTAGGTCTCGGTTCGGTTGAAGTGAACTCCGGCGTGGTTTGAATGCATTGTGAATGAAAGCAGACCGGAGACCTCTCCAAGAGCAGGAGGTGTACTACAGCGCAGGGCATTTTATGTAAATACAACCAAAACAAATGCGCATTTCTCATACCTCATATGGAGCTGTCTCAGCCGCCTTGTGTGAAAAACAACATTTTCCATGGTCTTCTGCCTCATCTTCTGCTCATGTTGAGTCCATTGTTGAAAAATGTTTGAACAGAAATCCTAAAACTGCTAAAATTTGACTCCACTCCATGGTTTTTGTTTATATTTCCAGAAGAAGGAAGTTGCACTCAGTGTCTTCTTCAGAAGTTTTCGTGTCGTTTCCTTCAGTAGTTCTTGGTGCAGTGCCTACACAGGCAAGGGGGTACAGATTGGCTTTATTGACTCAGTGCAGTGTGAATGCGAACCGCATCAGCTGAAAATGTAAACAAATGTTCCTAATTTTGGTCCCCAATCGAACCGAGTCTACCGGACTATCAGGTGTGAAAATGACCATATCTCTTTAGTGTGTCTTGGGTCTTCCCTGAGGCCTCTTCCCAGTCAGACATGTCAGGAACACCTCCCTAGAGAAGCACCCAGGGGCATCCTAACCAGACACTACCTTAGAAACCTCAGCCTGGTTATGGACAGACCAACCCCGACGTCCCCCAACTCAGCTTCCTCCATGCCGGTGGGGTTGAGAAGGTTGAAGTATTCATTTCACCTCCCGACGATGATAATGTCATTGGTTGAGTAAACAACACCTAACTCTCACTATCACAATGTTGGTAACATGCTGCTTTCCCTGCCACAACCACCTGATGGTTTTCTCCTCAGTGACTATATCCATCCATTCATCTATCCATCTATCCATCCATTATCTTTACCTGCTTCTTCCTTTTTGGGTCACGGGGGTCAGTGGTGCCCATGTCCAGCTATCACTGTGCGAGAAGTGGGGGACACCCTGGACGGGTCGCAAGTCCATCGTAGTGCCACATAGAGATAAATGAGACAAACAACCATTCACTCTCTTATTCACACCAAGGAACAATTTAGAGTTACCAATCAGCCTAATATGCATGTTTTTGATCTGTGGGAGGAAACCAGAGTACCCGGTGTAAACCTACAGATGCAAGGAGAAAACATGCAAACTTCACTAAGAAAGGCCCCTGGACAGGGATTTGAACCAGGGCAACCTGCTCGCTGAAAGGCAGCAGCTCTACCAACTGCACCACTGTGCTGCTCTCAGAACCAATCAAGAGTCTATAGTCAAGCTTTCACCGAACTCTTCTCACATCAGAGCTTTTGTCTCAGCAACAGCCAGGGATACAGCCCGCTTGGCCTACCATTACTCCTCAACTGCCTCTGGAGTACTACTGGCCAAACAGGCCTGATAGGACTCCTTCTTCAGCTTCATAGTCTTCCTAACTTGT